ATAATTTTCTTTGTAGTGATGTATTTGTCTGGTTTTTGTATGAGGGTTATGTTTGCATCATAAAATTCAAGAGTTTCCCATCATTATCCATGTGCTGGAATAGTCTGAATAGAATTGGTGTCAGGTCTTCTCTGAATGTTGCTGAATTCACCAGTGATGCCATCTGGGCCAAAACTGTTTTGTTTTTTTTTGTTAGTAATCTTTTAATGATCTGATCAACTTCTTTTATTATAGGTTTGTTCAAGTTTTCCATTTCATTCTGTGTTGGTTTAGGTAGGTCCTGTTCTTGTAAAATTCTATCCATTTCGTCTAGATTTTCAAATTTATTGTAGTAAAATTCTTAATAATATTCTTTTATTATCCTTACTATTTCTATTATTTGTGTTTTGATATCATACAGTTTCTTATGTATGTTATTTGCATCTTCTTCTTTTATTGTATTTGCCAATTCTATCAATCCTTTTAAAGAACCAATATCTAGTCTTGTTGATTCTTCTTACTGTTTTTCTGTTTTAAAATTAATTTATTTCTGCTCTAATCTTTATTATTTCTTGTCTTATGTGGTTGTGGGATTACCTTGATGTTTCTTCGCTAATTGTTGGAGATGTTATGTCAACATGCTGATTTTGGTTCTTTCTTCTTTTAAGATGTGTTTGCTTATTGGTATAAACTGTGCCCTAACTTTTTCTGTGTCTCCAAAGGTGTGTTTTCTTTCTGAACCGATTCAAGGAAATTTTAAAAATCATTCTTTATTTGTTCTACTACCCAGTATGTTTTAAGCAGAGGGTTACTTAGTTTCCATGTATTTGATTTTTTTCTCAGTCTGTTATTGATTTCTAATTTTATAACACTGTGATCTGAAAACATGTTTTAATATTTTAAAATTCATTCAGACTTGCTTTGTGGCCTAGCCTATGGTCTATTCTGGAGAATGTTCCATGCTTACTGTAAAATAATGTGCATCGTTCTCTTGTTGGGTTAAGAGCACTCTGTAAGTCTCCGAGGTCAACTTGGTTGCTTTTGTTCTTTAGTTCTTCAGCGTCTTTGTTGAGTTTCTTTCTAATTCTGTCCTTTATCAAAAATGGTGCATTGAAATACCCTACTTTTATCGTAATTGTCCATTTCTTCAATTCTGTGTTTGATATATGTGTTTTGTGATTCTTTCATTGGGAGCACAGATATTTATTATGGTTATATCCTCTTGCTCAATTGACCCTTTAATAGAGATATGTCCTTCTTTGTCTCTAGTGCTGGTTTTTGCCTCAAAGTCTATTTTATTAGAAATTAGTATTGCCACTCCTACTCATGTTCACGTTCTGGAAAGGATCTTTATATGATTTCTTCAATTTTTTTACTTCCTTTATCTCTGTTTATTCTCTATGCTTAAACTCCATTATTTGGATACTGGATCTTCTGGATCAAATCTCTAAATTTTGTAAATTTTCTATTGTTAAGTTTATTTTGTTGTTGTCAATCTGTTACAGAGAGATTTTTCTCTATGTTGTCTTCTAACCTGTATACCAAATTTCATTTGTAATTGTCCAGTGTTCCTTTTTCATCTTGGATTGCTATACTTTGTTTCTTTCTGCTTTCTTTTCTTATTGCTTCGTTTTTCTTTATGCAGACAGCAATCACTGTTTTCCTCTGCTGAGTTTTTGGTTTCTTTCAAGCTCTATTCGTATGTTTTTTATTTGTTCTCTAACTTTCATGTGAAAGGTTTCCTCCAATGTCTATTGATATGTGACTGTTTATTCCTAATTATTAAAAGTGAAGCACTGCAAAGTTTCTTGAATGCGTTTTATGGGTTGGCAGTACCTGCTGACCACTGGGGTTTAATATACAGAGACTTAAGAGGTGGAGGTGTGAGGTAACAGCATCCAGGCCTATGATTTTAAATTCATGCACTTTAATAACTCAAAAATTATTGCCTTTAACAATGCTCTGCATCCTACTTTGGTGAGTACTGACTAGGATAAAAGCTCATGAATGGCTTTCTAAAGTGCAATTTATTGGTCTCTCCTTGTGTGGAAGAAAGAAGAGTAATGAAAATTAAGGAAGCTTCGAATTTAAAGGGATAACATTAGAAGGTTCCAGATGTTGTTGTTAATTACCACTGAGTCAGATCTAACACTGACACTGAATAAAGTTTCTGAGGATCAGCTGAGTGGTCTGAACCACCAACCTTGTAGTTAGCAGTCCAGTGATTTTCCCATAGCAGTAAACAATCTGATACAAAACTCAACATTATTAAAAAGATTAGGCTTACTGGTCAGAGAGAGACTGGAGGAATCTGAGACTATAGCCCTTGGCCACCTTTCATATATGGAGTGAAACTCTCCTTTGTGGTTCAACTTTCAACCAAGCAGTGGATGGGTATAAAGGGGGCACAACAACACTACTGAGGTTATGTTTACCATGGAAGTGGTCAACCATTAGAGATTAAAAGAACAACATTTACCTGGTGCTGTGCGTTAATGCGCTGGACTGCAAGGTCAGTTTGACCCACAAGGTCGGTGGTTCAAATTCACCAGCCACTCCTTGGAAACCCCATACACGATCGCTATGAGTTGGAACCAACTCAACAGCACTTAACAACAACCACAGCAAGACTAAAAGGCATTGGGAAAGAGGGTGAAATAGAAATAAAAACCACTAGTAGCAAGTGTGACAACTGTTGTTACTTTGAGTGAACTGCAACCACTGAGATGAAACAAAATGTGTGATTTGTTGGATGTAAAACTCATGATCTGATCTGTAAAACTACTCAATTTACAACAAAAAGTTTTTTTTAAAAAAGGAAAATTAATATCTATGAAGTTTACTTTTCAACTTTTTACTTTTCAATATATCTGTTCAGATATTTTAAAGCTATCTCACAATTAAAAAGAAAACCCAGAACTACAAATTCCCCATTTCTCAACTCACAAACTTGCTTCAACCACAATATTCCCTATTCTGCTTTTACCCAGTTGAAGAGGTCAATAACACACAACGGGAGTTATTTTTTTGTGACCTCTTTCTTGTACAAATACAATTCAGACTATCAAAAACTCTGTTTCAAACTTGAGAAAATCCAGAATCCAACAACTTCTTAGCACTTGCACTATGTTGCTGTTAAGTACGAGGAGTCTGTTCTAACTCATAGTGACCCTGGCACAGGGTTTCCAAGGCTGTAAATCTTTATAGGAGCAGAAAGCCTGAACTTTCTCCCACGGAACGGCTGGTAGTTTCGAAATGCTGACCTTGAAGTTAACAGCCCGATTTGTAATCACTATGCTACCAGAGCTCCTTAAATTCAAGTTATTAAGACAAAAATCTCTTGCTTAAATGATTGTTCTCTGCTTCCATACTTGCCCAACTCCAGTCCTTTTACTTATCAACTCAAGGGACCCTTGTAAAATGTAAGACAGATCATGTGTGTCCCTTGTTCAAATTACTCCAAACACTTTTTGTTACACTTCCAATATAATCAAAAACCTTTATTTTAAAAAAAGGCATTTTCCAAATCACCATTCTGAGAGGAATTCTTAGTCTCAAATTTTCCTTATACATTAATTTCCTGTAACTAACTGATAATCACAATTCATATTACTTCTTTTTTTAAAAGTTTTATTGTGAATTATGTGACAGTTTACATGGGAGAACATCAGTTTTACATTCATCCTATCGTATATTGTTTCATTGCCATGGCTACAATTCCTTCCACGCATCACCAATGAATGAAAGGGTACATCCTATAAGCCTGCTCCCCCCCCCCCCCAAGCTTCCCGGTAGTCAGCAAACAACCCCTCTTTCCTCCCTGGGTCCTGAGTCCTCAGCTGCTCCATCTCTCCACGTCATCATCTCTGTCTCCTTGGGGATCTCTGCTTCTCTGGGTAGGGTTTCGCTCTCCGCTCTTCTCCCTTCATGGTTCCAGGGACCTCTGCTCCTAGCCTGCAGAGTTAATCAATCCTCTTCTTGCCACAAAATGTCTACTTTTACATTTACAACCTCTAGAATCAGTCCTGGTAACAATTATTCACTCTTGTATCACAAGAGACCTATCCGCATTTCCTTTATCAGTCCCGCCTAGACAGATTGGATACTACTCAGTGGAGATTCTACCTTCCTTCACACCCTCTGAATCTAGGTTCCCTCTTGAAAGCTTGTAAGCCAGTCACTTCTTGCCTTTGTAGCCCCTCCATTTTGGATAGCCAATGTCCAAGTTGCTCATCCCTGTCTACTCTGTGTATGGAAGGGGTAGGAATGATCTCTGCTGCAAAGATTTGTTCCCTCTTTTGAGCTACTGCATCCATAAGTGTAGGTCAAGTTCATCAAATTGTATCAGATTACTCTTTTTTTCCTTTTCTAGTTGAGCTCTGATCACCCAGTCATTGAGGCTAGGTCAAATGGGTATTATCTGCAAATGTGGGTGCTCTTGTGGATATGCTGTGTCTTCTTATCCACTGGACACTTCACCCTCTACTCCAGTCCTCCATGGCTACGTCACTGACTCTGGGCCAAACAGTCCCCAGGTCTTGCCACACTGCTGGCCAACCTGGTCTCCACCTGGGTTCACAGGAGTCTATTGACCATTGTAGGGCTTAGATCGCAGCCTCATAGCTATTTTTACCTCATTTCCCCTTGTCAGTGGTGAACGTGGTCACCCCCATCAGAGCATGTATTCCCTTTGAGTCTTAGGCTTAGAAGCGGGTTTATTCTGAGGAGACCTGACCCCTTGCCTTGATGTCTCCTAGGCAGGCAACTTGCTTGTCCTTGTAGTAATTGGTCGGTCTACCTCTATTGTTCTGTGTTTTTTCTGTCAGTCTTTGTTTAAAGAAGTATTTTCTGCTCTTTTAGCCACTCCAGGCTGGTCTGCCTGTCCTCTCAGGGGGAAATTTCCCACCTCGGAAGATGCTGTTCAGGATTCCACCTATAGTCTTATGTAATACAGAGGCTCCACCGGCAACCTCCTTTACTGGGCATGTTGTATCCCCATTTTAGGTATTCCAATCAGTTACAGGCAGAAGAAGGACTTAGAAGCTTTCTATGGTGATATTTCTGGCTTTCCCTTTCTCTCCCCTTCAAGTGTCTGGCTTCTGTGGCTGCCACCCCAAACCAGAAGTCCCATTTTACTTTAAAACATTTACATTTCTTTTTTCTTTTTGAAACATTTTATTGTGTGCTGAGTGAAGGTTTACAGACAAGATCATCAGTTTTACAATCAGCAAATTATACACTTAGTTTCATCTCAAGGATTGCAATTCCCTCTATGTAACAACAGCTTTGCCACTTCCTCCCTGTGGTTCTTATTTCCATTCCACCCTCCCTCCCACTCTTTCTCAACTTTGTCCTTAAGTAAATGCTGCACTTTTGATCTTGAAAGGTTGACCATGCCATGGTGGGCATACCTTACTAGTGCTATTGTTTGCATTATAATACCTATCTACCAATTAGCTGAAAACTGGGCCATAAAGGTGAGCTAGGTCCAGACCTAAACGGTGAACAAGGGCCATAGTCTCAGGTTCCTTCAGTCTCTTTCTGAACAGCAAGCCTGGTCTTTTTGTTTTTATAAATTTGAGTTTTGCTCCACATTTTCTCCTACTTTATAAGAGATTTCTAATGTGATTCCTTTGTTGTTGTTGTTAAGTGCTGCCGAGTCGATTCCAACCCATAGCGACCCTGTATAGGGTTTCCGAGGAGCAGCTGGTGAGCTTGAACCGTCAACCTTGCAGCTCAAACGGCTTTGCAGTCTGGTGCATTAACCCACAGTGCCACACCAGGGCTCTTAATTGTTGTTGTTGTTGTTGTTAAGTGCCATCGAGTCAGGTCCGACCCATAGCGACCCTGTACAGGGTTTCCGAGGGTGTAAATCTTTACGGGAGTAGAAAGCCTCATCTTTCTCCCGCGGAGCTGCTGGTAGTTTCGAACCGCTGACCTTAAGGTTCGCAGCCCGATTCGTAACCACTACGCTACCAGAGCTCCTTAGGGCTCTTAATTAGAGTATCATTATTTCTTACCTGCATCACTACTGTGGTCTCCTTCCTCTCTGATTCCAATTATTTTCCCCATTTTACATCCTCTATAGTCAGTGTCTGATCCTGTTACTCCAAGAATTCTATCAGACTGCTAGATTATTGTTGTTGCTGTTGTTAAATGCCCTGGAGGTGGCTCCAACTCATAGAGATTCTGTGTAGGGTTTCCAAGGAACAGCTCTTGGTCTGAACCACTGACCTTGTGGTTAGTAGTCCAGTGCTGATCTTACAGTGCCATAGCAGGAGTCCAGACTGCTGAATAGAGTCTAATTTTTGGTATACAAAGTTTTTCATAATCTGGCTCCTATCTCCTTCTGACCTCATCTTCCACTGACTAATACAGACCTATGTGTGAAATAGCTTATGTTGTTGTTGTTATGTGCTGTTGAGTTAGGACCAGCTCATGTCAGTATCTTATGCAGAACAGAAGGAAACACTGCCCAGTCTGGCAAATTTCAAAATTGTTAAGTTTGAGCCCACTACTGCTGCCACTGTGGCAAGTGTTCTTGTTGAGGGTCTTCCTCTTTTTTGCTGACCCTCCACTTTACCAAGCATGCTGTCCTTCACCAGGAACTGGCCCCTCCTGACAGTATGTTCAAAGTATGAGAGACGAAGTCTAGTCTTTCTGACTTCTAAGGAGCATTCTGGCCGTACTTTCTTCAACACAGAAACCTTTTGCCAGTTCATGGTACTTTTAATATTCTCCTCCAACACCATAACGCAAATGCATCAATTCTTCTATAATCTTAATTATTCGTTGTCCAACTTTCACATACATATTGCTGTTGTTGAGAATTCCGATGCATAGCGACCCTGCACAGGGTTTCTGACAAGTGGCTGTTGAGCTTTAACCACCAACTTTGTAGTTCAAAATGACCTTGCAGTCCAGCGCTTTAACCCACAGCACCATACCAGGACGCTTCACATTCATATTGTTGCTGTTGTTATTAGGTGTCATTGAGTCAGTACCAACTCATAGCCACCCTATGCACAACAAAATGAAACACTGCCTGATCCTGGGCCAACCTCACAATTGTTGCCACGCTTGAGCCCACTGATGCTGCCACTTTTCCAATCCATCTCGCTGGGGATCTTCCTCTTTTTCTGTGACCCTCCACCTTACCAGACATAATATCCTTCTCCAGCAACTGGTCCCTCCTGACAATATGTCCTAAGTATGAGAGATGAAGTTTGGCTATCCTGGCCTCCAAGGAGCACGCTGGCTGCACTTCTTTCAACACAGATTTGTCTGTTCTTTTGGCAGCCCATGGCTGCCAAATTTCAATATTCTCCTCCAACGCCATAACTCAAGAGCATCAATTCTTCTATGGTCTTCCTCATTCACTGTCCAGCTTTTGCATGCATATGAGGTTACTGAAAATACTATGGCTTGGGTCAGTCACATTCATATTAGGCTATTGAAAATATCGTAATTTGGGTATGGCACACTTTAGTCCTCAAATTGGAAATGTTATGCTATCATTGCCTTATGCTATATACAATTTTGACATGTCTTACCTTTTTTTTGGTCTACTTATTGAGCCCCTGATCATCCATCAAGACTCACATTAAATATTACTACCTCTGGAAACATTCACTTGTTTTCCTACTCCACTCCTTTTTACAGTATCAATATATACCTTACTTATGATATAAGCACAAACATGGCAATTATTTGCTTGTGGTCTACTATTCCATTAGCGATTCAAAACATAGGTTTCATGCATTGGCTTCAGAGGCAACCAACTAGTGGAGGATGCTTTGTCCTCGGGGAGGAGGTTAATGGGAGCCCCCATAATACCGAAAGGGTCAGGAACCATTACCCTAGATGGTAAGGTTCTTGAGGTAAAGGACACATTTTATTCATCCTTATATCTCTGTATCTCAAGCCTATCGTACTATATAGTTAAAGGAACTGCATGCAAGTTACCTGTGTACACTAGTGAGTATTCACAAGAAAACATACAGAAGCAGTTGACAAGCTATTTGCAAACAATTCAGACAATTTTTAAGGGTTCTCAACTAGACAGCATACTTGGTATCATCTATGTGTCCTAAAAATATTACATAGTATTAAAGTGATTCTAAAACTTTGTATTCACAGCAATATGTATCATGCAAATATATATATTCTTCCAAGTTAGGTTTTACCCAATTCCTTGGTCTAAGCTTAACAGTAAGCTTAGGATTCTACTGTTTACTGGCTGTACTCTAAATATTTTATAGCTTTCTTTCAAGTACTTTTCATCTACCTATAAAATATAGCTCTGATCAGGAGTCAATACACTACAACACAACAATACAATAGCTAAGGATCTATCAGGATCTGTAATATATCTATCTATTAAGAGAGATGGGTACATGAATTGTAGGTTCAATCATGACATTAATCAATAATGGGCTCTTCTTAGCTTTGACTACCTTCTAAGAGGTGAGGGGGACAAGACATAATTTTATTAACTGATGTAGACAGAATAAGTTCTGTTTACCAGAAGAATCAACAGAGAAGTGACCCCCTAGACATTATATTAAGGCTAACAGCCTTACATAGCCATTCCATTAGAAAAATAAGGTGAACAGATGCTGTCACAAGAAGGAAGACTCCTTAAATACAATGGGACTAAGACAAAGAATAATTTTTATAGTGCTGATTTATACATGATTAAGGAACACAGGCAAAGAGATAAACATGAGGTGTTTATCAAGACACTTCATATGAGGTTTCTTACCATTTTATAGAGATCTGAGACACTAATCTGATCCGAATCCACTACTTCAAAGTCCTTTCGAGGCACCAGGTCCAGGCCCAAATGTCTAGTAACAAGAAAGATCACATTCAGCATGAAACATCCTCAGATTACTTGTCTGTTACTTTATACACACCTGAGAGACCATATCTGCCATGATCTTATGAAAAGAGATCCATTGCCGCAGAAAGAAGATGCCTTCATCTGACAGCACCAAACTGAGTTTGCTGCTATTGTTGGTAAGTGCCGTGGAGTCGGTTTTGACACCTAGTGGCCCCCCTGTGTAGGGTTTCCGAGAAATGGCTGGTGGGTTTGAAGCACTCATCTTGTGGCTCAAACTGAACTTGCAGTCCAGAGCATCATCCTAACTTTGGGTAGATAAATAAGGTTAGTAGTGTAGTGGTTACGAGTTGGGCTGCTAACGTCAAAGTCAGAAGTTTGAAACTACCGGTTGCTCCTCAAGACAATGATGAGGCTTTCTGCTCCCGTAAAGATTTACAGTCTTGGAAACCCTATGCAAGGTCACTATGAGTCAGAACCAACTCCACAGCATACCACCACAACTACCACCAGAGATTTAAAGACTTACACCATTCTGGTCACCAAGTAGTTTTACTTGTGATAGCCAAAAGGATCCACTTAATACCATGCTTATAACAGATTGCTTGAGTTCACTAAAGATAAGTTTTGTATATACATAATTAGTAAGAAGACATGTTTATTTTTGTTTCTCTGCATCCTACAAGTATGCTCAAGGCTCTAATTAATTAGGATGAGAAATTATCTAAGGCCCAAGTTAATGTGTAATTAAAAGTCAAACGAATAAAAACTACCTTATGTGGCCCTGTAGGATCAGTACTGGACTGTGAACCACAAAGTCCACAGTTTAAACCCTATAGCTGCTCTTCAAAAACCTTACATAGGGTTGCTATGAGTCAGAACCAACTCAATGGCAATTAACAGCAGTTGGCGAGCTTGAACCATGGACCCTGTGGTTCAAACTGACTTTGCAGCCCAGTGCATTAACCCACAGTACCACACCAGGACTCCACTACTAACCAGGAAAATGGTATTAACAAGATCTGGTATCATTTGAGCAAGAAGGAGGAAGATAGGCAATTCATGACTGATTGGGAAGCATTCTGAGGCAATGGAAATAATCCTAGATACGGAACACTTGGGTACAAATATGGTACATAATCTGTATTCCATTAGTTCCTTACTTACTCTCTAGAACAGGGGTGGGGAATGTCTACCCCATGGGCCACACAAGAACATTGAAGTAATTTCGTATGGCTCTGTCAAAGCAAACAAAGTTCCAGCCATCACACTGTCATTGATATTTAGTGCCATCCAGTCAGTTTTGACACATTGTGTTTGTTGCTGTTGTTGTTGTTAAGTGCCATGGAGACGGTTTCGAATCATAGTAACCCTGTATAGGGTTTCTGAGGTGTGGCTGGTGATTTTCAACCCTTGTATATGAAACCAATCTTGCGACTTTAGATCCAGAGAGGGAGAGCGACCGTGTGATGAAGAACTGGGGGGTATGGGGGAAGGATTGCATGGAGGGGATTGTAACCATGGCAATGAGACGATATACGATAGAATGAATGTAAAACTAATGTTCTCCCATGTAAACTATCACATAATTCACAATAAAACATTTAAGGGAAAAAAACCAATCTTGCAGTCCAGTCATTATTGTACAGTGTCAGACCAAGCCATCACATAGGTGGTGGTTATGTGCCTTGAAGTCGGTTGTGACTCATAGCAACCCAGTACATTAAGAGTGAGTTAATTAAAGTTTGACCAAATATAGCAGGCTTATTTTTTTTAAATGTTTTTGTGGATTGAGTGAAAGTTTACAGGGCAGATCATCAGTTTTCCATCCAACAAATCATACACCTTGTTTCATTACAATGATTATAATGCCCTCCATGTACCATCAGTTAACAGTATTTCTCTATTCACCTTGGCTTTCTAGGCAAATATAATAATTTAAACCTCCAAAGGGTACATTCTGCAAGTCTGCCTCCTGGCCACCAGCACTTAGCCAGCCCCACTCTTCCCATGAATCTAGAGTCCTCAGCCATGCCCCCTCTCCATGACCCAATCTCTGCCTCCATTTCTGACATCGCTGCTTCTCTGGATAAGGTCCCACATTCTGCTTGTGCTCTTCTCCCTTGATGGTCCTAGGTCCTCTATTTCTGGACTGTAAGATTACCCACTCACCTATTTTTGTTACAAAACTTCTACCTTTAAAATTGGGACAGTCACAATTACTCATAATAACAATTATTCACTATTGAATCATACGAATCTTATCCCTATCTCTTTTCACCAGACTCATCTAGACAAGATGAAAACTATTCAGTGGGGCCTCTTTCTTTCCTCCCATATTCTTAAATTAAACTCCCTCTTGAAATCTGGTAAGCCAGTCACTTCATGCCCTTATCGGCCCCTCATTTTAGGTAGCCAATGTCTAAGTTGTCCATCCCTATCTACCCTGTGTACAGAGGGGAATAGCATTGATACTTCATGTGAAGACTCCATCCCTCTCTGTTGGTATTTAGAGTTACTACCTCCATGAATGTAGATCAGGTTCACCAAATTGTAGCAATTTACCCTTGTTTCCTTTATCAAAAATTTTTGTTGTTGTTGTTTTTTAAATCTTGCTCTAGTCAACTTTTGATTATCAAGCCATCGAGGATAGGTCAAATTGGTACTGTAAGTTCGGGTGTTGTTGTATATCTCCCCTCACTTCACATCAGCTGGATGCTTCACTCTCAGCTCTAGCCCTCTGTGGCTATGTCCTTGTCCATGGGCTCAAGTGTCCCCAGGTCTCACCACACTTTGAAGCAACCAACCCTTTCTCTTCTCTTCTCATCTCCAAGTCAACGGGAGTCAATGGATTGTACTTGAACTCAGCCCTTGTGTTCACTGTTGCCGTTCCCCTTCTTCCACTCACCAGTACACCAATGTTGTCACCAGCAAGCTTACATGCCTGTTTGTGTGTTCCCTTTGAGTTTCAGTCTTAGAGGGTAGTTTGTCCTGAAGGAACTTGATTGTTTGCTTTGATGGCTTCCTAGTGAATAGCTTGCTTATTCTTGTAGTAGCCAGTCATGCTGAATTTTTCCTGATGATCTTTCTTTGAAGATGTATCTTCTGTCACTCTAGCTGTTCCAGGTTGGTCTGCTTGTCCTTTCTAGTGTGAATGTTGCACCTCAAAGGGTTCTGAATGGTACTCAGGATTCCACTTGCAAAGGTTTTGCACGAGGCCTATTTCACTGGACAAGTTCTAGAACCCCTTTTAGGTATTTCAATCAGTTATAGGCTGAAGATGGGCTTACAAGTTTTCTGTAATCATGTTTTCCAATATTCCTTTCTATCCTACTCAAGTGTCTATTTTACAACAGTAGGAAAGGGAAACCAATATTCATAAGACAGTCAAGCAGTTTAGTATTATTTCCCCTCTTCAAACTATGCCTAGATCCCTGTATGATAGAGCCCTGTTGTTACAAGTTTAAGCATACATCACTATTCACCTCTGTCCCACTTAGGCTATTCAAACCTGTCTCAGTGTTCCCCTATCTATCTTGTTCTTCTGTCTCCTCCCCTTTCTTGTATTGCCCTCCCCAATACTCAAACTAAACCCCCACCCCAACCCCTCTGTTGTGGTTACCTTATATTCCATTAACTCTTCCCTCCATTTAAAACAATCTATTTTATCGTGTAATCTACCTGATCTTCTCACCACCTGTATCTCTGCTCCTCTGTGTTTACCTTCTTTCACATTGTAACTGTTTTGATCATAGATTGACCTCTCAGATCCTCTGTTCTTATAATTTTATTCTGTTCTTGACTCTTCCATTTTTCGATTGAGTTCAGGGTGATGCTGCCACATATACCATTCTCAGATTATTGTCTGTTCTTGTTGGTTCTCAGTCCACAGAACCTCTTTTAGTATGTTTTTCATAGCAGGGTTAGCTGTGGCAAAATCCCTTAGCTTCTGTTTATCCTGGAATGTTTTAATTACACCATTTTATTTGATTGACGGTTTTTCTGGGTAGAGGATTCGTGGTTGGCATTTTTTTTCTTTCAGGGTTTTATATATGCCTCTCCATTGCCTTCTTGCCTGCATGGTTTCTGTTGAGATATCCAAGCTTAATTTGATTTGCTTGCCTTTGTATGTTAGCCTTCTCTTTTCCCTAGCTGCTTTCAGGATTCTGTCCTTATCTTTGAATTTGGAGAGCTTGATTATTTTATGTCTTGGTGATTGTTTTTAGGGTCTATCCTTCTTGGGGTTCACTAAGCTTCCTGAATGCGTATCTTTTCACTTTCCAGGATGTTAGGGAAATTTTCTTCCAGAAGTTCTTCAAGTATCTCCTCTGTGGACTTGTGTGATTCTTCCTGTTCTGGAATGCCGATAATTCTTAAGTTATTCCTCTTCATGTTGTCCAACAAGAATCTTAGGCCTTCTTCAGATTTTTCTATCCTTTTTTGTGCTTGCTCTTCTATCTAAATAGTGTTGAGATATTTATTTTCTAGCTCACTAGTTCTGGCTTCTATCTCTTCAACTCTACTCTTTTGTCCTTTCAGTGTACTGTCAATTTCTGATACTCTATTATTAATCATCTCAACCTCTTTCTGTAGGTTATGAATTGTTTCCACTGCTGTATCTTTCTTAGTTGATTGTACCTTTAGCACGTTGCTGATTGCTTCCTTAACTCCATTGTATAGTGTTTTGATACATTTTATAATCATTTTTCTGAATTCCTTCTCAGGCATTTCCAAAGCCTTCCCATCTTCCAGTATGGAGTGTAGATCTACTTCCAGCTCATTTGCCTAAGTCACTTTATCTCGTTTCTGGACACATGCTGATATGGTTATCTGTTTCTGTTTATTGGGAATATTAAGTGGCCTTAATACAATTTTTGTATTTTTTATGCTTTCTGATTGCCTCCAGTTAGATGTGATCAAGAGATGGGCTTCCCTTTTCACTCTTCTTCAAGATGCCACTGTTGGTCATTGTGATATAACTCAGGATTTAATTTTCGACCTATTTCC